TTGGTACTCAGAATGACATTTGTTCTAGGAAATGCAAATACTTAGATACGAAGGATTATTCAGTTTAACAAGATTGGCTATGCTTATTATATAATCATAAAACGAAGCAAATACGCATATTTCGCATTTTCGACTACTTTTAATTCCATAATTTAACTGACTTTGTTTTAGCTTCGATTCCATTACATGCAATTCAGAAATGCATCTTCATTATGGTCATTTCTTCCAAGATTGGCCTGAGAAAAAGGAACACCTAAAATTTTCAGAATTTGGAATAAAATTTAATGTTAAGAATTCATTCCATGGAACACTTTTTAAATACTTCCTTTTTACTTGCTAAAAATACTTCCTTAAGCCTTGAAGGTAAAAGAAAAAAAATCTCCAAGATTTCAATAGCTAACTATTTTGAGTTTCAAAATTCCTCTGCGTCGGGAAAAAATAATAAAAAAGAATGGAATTCCGTATTATTATTTCTCAGACTGAAATAAGAATACAGGGGAAAATGTCATGCTCGGTGATATAATATTGCTCGATTACTACAAAGAACTCGAGGAAGCCATTTCCCGGCAAGAAATACGAGAGGTGAAAAGCAAAAAATGATCAAGCAGATATATGATCCGATAAAAAAAACAATCCGAAGGAGATGCTGCAGGGTTGGAGGATGGTAGAAGAAGGAAAAGACGCGCGGAAGTAAGGCTCAGGGAGACCCGATCTTTTCATCCATAGATATCAAGGATGGAGGAGTGGGAAAGGGAAATGATATGGCTCATAGAAGTATCCACTATCAACCCAATTGCTTATATTAAAAGAGTCCCCTGATATGAACTCTTCAAAGTTACTCAGAGTATAGTTTTATCATCAAAATGCATTTCTGTTTTTGACAAGGTGTAAAATACTCATGTTAGGTATTCTAAAACATCATCGGTTTACGAAAATCAGTGTATTAATAATCCTAGATTCTTTTCAGATAGTTTCCTTACTAATTACAATTATCTTTCCTGTAGTCTTAAGTTATATAACATTTTAGCCAATTTGCTTGCGACATCCCGAGAGGAATTTATTTTTAGAAATACATACTACAGTAACATGTTGTTTTGTAGTTGAATTTACAGTGGATATAATGAAGGTAAAAATAATGAACTATAAGATGACAATATCCGTTTCCGGAAATATATGTTGCAATTTTTTAGTTCAATAGGGCTTTGTCCCTGAAGGACTATTGCTTTCGTTTTGCGATTTTGCGTTGAATCTCTATAAATGTCCGTTTCACTTTTCAAACTGTTGCCACCAAATGCTAGAGTCCTGCATTATATTTGAAGAATTTAAATAATGAAAAATCTGCATAAATGCATGCATATTTTTCGCATTTTGGTAAAACAACGGTACATAGAGTCATTGAATTTTGAATGATATAATCCTCCTACGAATATGGGCATGTGGAAGACCAAATTTGGAATTTGTTTTATTATTGATTTCATATTTTGTAAAACTTTAACGAATTTTTGATTAACAAACTCATGGATTTCAAAGCGAACAATGGCAACACTCTACGGAAAGGAAAAATATTTTTTATTTCCAACGAGCGGAACTGTGTATCAGAAATTCTAAAGACAGGATCATTTTAAAATTATTTTGCGACATTGCTATTGAACTGAATTTTATGGTTAAAGTGCAAAGAAATGATATTTAATAAATAAAGTTAACACACAAAACGTTAAAAAAAGGCCCTTTTAAACGTAATTTAAAATCTGAAACCTTTCAGATTTTTTTAAATATTTTTTGTTGTTTTATTTCTCAGTATTAGTTTTCATTAAAATCAAAAGTAAATGCATTGTTTAAAACATAAACAAACCGATCTGAGAAGCATAAATCGTTTAAAATTTTTTCTTACCTCTCACACAAACTGAACAGAGAACATGCTAATAAAAAGCTTCATTAAAACAAATTAAACCAAATAATTATTTAAATGTAATAAATTTTGAAAAATATTTTATTAACAAAATTACTAAAATATTTAGAAAAAGAAAAAAAGAAAAAAAAATTAATACCGCTCAAATTCTTCTCAATTAGCGTAGTATGGTTAATTTTTCAGACAAATGTCTTCCATAAAATTCAGGTGCATAATTTTTTTAAACAAGAAATTAAATTCAGATCATCGGCAATAAAATTCAATTATTTCTTTTTGCTCTAATTAATTTTCAGCGTAAGACTAAGTTTGATTAAAAAGTGATTGAGTAACTAAATTGTATTTTCTTGTCAGGGTTGTTGCAGTTCTTGGTTGGCTCTTTCAATTTTAGCCCCAAAAAGGTCGTAAACACCCATATAGATTATTCAGAACAGAAAACTTTAGCAAAACAAAACTCACACATCATTTTATCGTTTACTTCTAATTTATCAAAACATTTTAAATTTATTTTTCATCTTTCATTATGCTGTTTTTATTATCATTATCATTATTTCGGATAAAACTTTCTCATCAAGCTAGAACTATAAATTGTAATTTTGGACAAAATCTGTTTCTTGCCCAGAAATAACTAGTGCATTTATTTCCTTATTTACTGAAAAAATTATGAAATAAAATTAAGGATCTCGGTTAGTTTTCGTTAGATAAAGCCTTTCAGATTTCTTTATTTTCCAGTGTCCTGGAAGCACGCAAAATTTATAAGTTATAATATTTTTTATTCCAAACTAAACATTTTATATAAAGGTTTTGCGCTTTAAAAAATACTTTTGTTAAAACTTTAAGCAAACTTGTTTCTGAAAGTTTAAATTTAAATAACTAAATTTCAGAAGTAGAGACTTCGAAAACAAAAGTACAGATTCGTCTAGCCGACACATATAATATGTATGCCATCTGAAATATATTTATATATATCATTGATTAAACTAATGCCGTAATTTCTCTGAATTTTATTTGGCAGAGTTTGCAATTCAGAATACTTAGCACATGCATTAGTCTGTGATAGTTTCGTTTGAATTCTTGCTAAGTTCATTAGATTTAATTTAGAAATAATAAACAAACGTTACAATAATATTAGACAAAAAGCATTACTACTGCCAGTTATTGTCATTGTTATTACATACAGGTTCTTAATGCACTAAACGTAATCAGAACGGATGATAGCCTGATAAAATTTATTTTTCCAAAAGAAACACTTTTTAGTTCTAGAACTTTCCGCAAAGTTATTCATTCAGCTCTTCTCAGTATCACACAGAACATCAGTGGTTACACTTCAGAGTACTAAGAACGTTAAACATAACGTAAAGCGAAACGGATTTAAAGAGCTAAGCTCACACGGAGATCTCTCAGTACTCCGAACTCAAATCTGAACTGAAAACTGAGAGTTGATGATCTCTTCGGTCACATATAGTTTTTCTCCGGTCGACGAGAAATTTCCAGCACCTTCCATTTCTCGAAATTACCGAGAGGCATATCAGGTTACAGTTACATAGAAGGACCAGACACAGTTACACAATTAAACCGGTTACAGTTATACAGTTAACGGACTAAAATGTCGCCAAATATTAGCCACGTGTGGCAACTTTTGACTTTTTCTCTCCACATTTGGTGACAAAAATTAGTTGCCAAAACCACTGCCAGTTTATATCTCGACAGTTTAGCGAGTTAGCCATTTATCTCAATGTTAAATAGACTTGCCCTTGTAATCTTATTTTTCCGACAAAGTTTGGCTTTTCTTGAGACCATTCATGTTACACTGAAAAATTCGTAACACTATGATATATGTATATTGTTTACAGCAGAAAACAAATATTATAGAGGTAATACTGACATCATTTTTGTATTATAACATTAAAATTGCTACACCATGAAGCCATTAAAGCTGTTGGTATATAAACTTGTTACACCATGAAACGAGTTATTATGATTTTATACTAAAACGTTTTTCCGTATTTGTCACCAAAATGCAAATCATCTTTTAGAGCACATAAACTGAGCGTTTTGAATCTTAGAGAGAGAGAGGGGGAGTTTCTGGCTGCATTAGTATTAGCTGTATTAGAGCCAGTATAGTAGTTGTATTAGAGACAGAGAGTTTCGACTGAGAAAGAATTTCGCCAGCTGTAGCTAAATGTAGCTTCAGACTTTTGCATTCTTTCGCAACTGATACTTTAAACTTACACCCCTGTAAAATTAATTCAGACAGCTTATACTTTAGTTTATTGAATGGGTAGTCCTAAGCTATTTTAATAATTTAAATTCGTTTAACTGCTATTTATTAATTTACATCGCAGCGAGAAGTGGTTGGGCTGTAGCACAAGTTGTGCCTATTATGTCGAAAATTCAGATTAAATAAAAAGGTTGTTTTAAAATCTTGTTTTGCCCTCTGTGCGTTTTTAAGACGTAGCGGAAACTCGCTAACCAGTATAGTAGTTCTGCAGGTCCAGATCAATAGAGACCTTACAACATATTGGAGTATGCAAACGATTCTCATTTCAGCGCATGCACACAAAGCAAGTATGAGTCTACATTGTCCAAAGCAAATATGCCGTCCCCGTTGTGTATAAATGGGAAGGCTGCACAGAGGGATTCTGATTTGTAAATCTTATTTGAATGTCGGTTATTTGTATAAAGGTCATGCTATGCCTTGTGTAAGAAGGAGAAACTCCTACTAGCATGTGTCCGAATTTGACAGCGACGGCTATTGGGACAGCTATTTAACGTTCCGCGACACCGCTGCTCGTTTTAGTGGAGATCCCATGAATTTAAGGTATATGAGCCCCGGAAGGCCATACTAAACATTATGCAGGATCATATCACCGGGCCACTAACAAAGAATCTCTAAGGAGAAGAAGTAAAGGTTTCCCGAGGCAAATGTGGCTCCGTCAGACTGAAGAGACACTGTGTATGTCCCTGAAGCTTATTTCAAAGGGGCAATCCATCCACCCTCCGTACCTTTCTGCGCATGTGCGAAATAGCAGGCAAGAAACCGGCATGTCGTCAGCCATATTAGCAATCTTTTACCGCGTTGTTCGAAGGGTTCATTGAAAGTTTTTTTCAGTTCTTTTCTCTAGTTATTTAAGCAGATCATAAGATGGATGTTTCGCAAGGACGATCACCGGAATTCACCCGATTCTCTTTCTGTGAGGTAAGCTTGCTTTTTTAATTCGAAAACCTATCATAGATTTTAAAAATTGATTTTGTATAGTACATTAATTTTGATTCCCAAGCTCCAAAATATTTTGTTGTCTCATTGTATAACACAGCAGCTAGATTTTCATTCTTAATATATTAACTTTGCATTTTAGCATATGAATCTCAATTTATATAATTAATCATATGGCAAACAAATACTATAGTTTTTGCAGGCATATTGGTATTTCTTTCCAAATTTTTTAAATGAGTTTTAAGCTTTAAAGTCAACTAATAATAATATTACGACAAAACGAGCGATCAGGAATAAATTTGCCATTTATAATAATGCGGCAGCTAATGGCATGTATGATTGCATAAATTAATTTTATTAATAAATTGTATTATGCTTCAGCTTTAAATTTATGCTATAGATTACCAAATAGTTTATCTGAGAAAATTTATAAACTTATTTAATATTAGTGGCCACTGAAGATTATTTTTAATTTAGTATATTGATAGTTATATACAATTTTTCGTATTTTATGATTATTTTTGAAAATTTTATATTCATTATTATAAAAATATAATTTTGATTTCTCTCAATATTTGATGTGGTGTGGTGAATAACAGACTAACTCAATCTATCTTTTACTTAGCAAACAACCCAAATCCTGGTATCGCTGTTGTGTTTGTGGGACAACATCTCGAAAAACACCAGACAGGAAATTCTTCAGATTTCCTAAGGATCCTATTAGGTAAATCATTTCTAAGTTTAAAAGAAACTAAGCTTTGATTATTAATAATATATATATATCTCAATTTTTGATAGAGAAGCAAATATTTCATGTATTTGGAATAATTTAAATAAATAGCTTGTTTTTTTTTTTTATTAAGTGTTCCTCATCATAGACAAATAGTTCAGTGTTCTTCTGTAAATATCCAAGATAACTGTGCTTGTGATACAGTTGCTCCCAAAAGTGTTCATACACTTTAAGAATTTGTAAAAAAATGCGCTGTAGCCTGGAATTGAACTTGATTATAAAGCCCAATATTTTCTCATATCTCGAAGTGATTTTGAATAAAACCAAATTTTTTTCTTCTAATATTTTAGAAGATAATTTTTGTAATTTATGTATTACAAGCTTGAATGCTGCAGGATATCCTACAAAAACTGAAACTGACAGAAATTTAACTGCAATATTTCGTAATAGTGTCTGCAGATTTCTTTAAAGTGCACGAAAATTTTTTGTGAGGTAACTTTTTTGTTACTTTTTAATTATTAATTCCCCCCAAAAAGTTTTACTGTATTCTTATAATACTTATATAGAGTTTTGCTAAGATAAATTTATAGATATTAAAAAATTCTCGCAGCACTATTTCACTGAAAAACATAAGTGTACGAACACTTTAGGGAACCACTACATATTAGTGTGAATAAGGAAGGAAACATTTTAAAGATGCACTTTACGAACAATGTGTACTTTTTATGGTTGGTGCCTTATCCTTTTTTAATCATATTGTTAACAAAACTGTACAAAGAAATGCTAAATTGTTTAACTAGATACTATGACCGGTAACTACAATTTAACACAATATCTGCAAAATTATTGGTTTTCGTACATCAAAATAAAATTAGATGAAATGCAATCGTTTCAGAATTTGTTACTAATGTAAAAGGAATTTTTTAACAAGGTTAAATTTCTAATAACACTGAAAAGAGGTTCTTTTAATTAAAGAAAATAAAATTGTTTTTTTGTTTTCATAGATCAAAATAATAGAGAATTAGTATAAATATGTCAGAAATGTAATAAATCATATTATGTACATGAATTTTTCCTTAAATTATAATTTAATGTTTGTTCTTAAAAAATATATAACCCTTCTCGAGATTGTGTAACTAATGTATAAGGAATGTTTTTAGTTTGCTATTTTTCTACTAACACTGAAAATGGATTTATTGAAATTTAAAATATAAAATTAATGTTTTTCATTTTTATAGATCAAAACAATGGGCTGCCGCATGCAGTAATCAAGACTTGTTAAATAAATCACCAACTGATTTGTATAAAACTGCACTAATATGTTCGTCACACTTCAAAGATCACGATTACTGTTCACCAAAGATGCGATATTTACATTCCTGTGCAGTGCCGACAAAATTTGAACAAACAGGTATCTACAGTGTTTACTATTATTATTTCAATATGCTTAACAATAGCGCCATCTAAGAAATAACTCATCAATAATAGTGGATCACCTGTCATGTTATGCTCAAAGAATACTGTGCAACAAAATTGATGGTTTGGATCGCCTGTCAAGACTTGTTAAATAAATCACCAACTGATTTGTATAAAACTGCACTAATATGTTCGTCACACTTCAAAGATCACGATTACTGTTCACCAAAGATGCGATATTTACATTCCTGTGCAGTGCCGACAAAATTTGAACAAACAGGTATCTACAGTGTTTACTGTTATTATTTCAATATGCTTAACAATAGCGCCATCTAAGAAATAACTCATCAATAATAGTGGATCACCTGTCATGTTATGCTCAAAGAATACTGTGCAACAAAATTGATGGTTTGGATCGCCTGTCATGTTATGCTCAAAGAATGCTGTGCAACAAAATTGACGGTTATTAGTCGAAATATTGACTGTTGATTTTTGGCAAAATTAAAATTATGTAAAATCCAAGCATACAGCATTTTTAGAATTATTATATGTATAGTGAAGGTGGAAAATAGGCATTTCTTGCAATTGCTTTTTTAAAAGAATTAATTTCTAATTTCATTTCAATTTGAAACAATCTTCATCAGGATGAGCTGCAACAATATTTATTTGATTCAGTGGATTATTTACAAAACTTCTTAATACCTATAGGTTTGATTTTCAAGTTAAGTATTTAATCTTATATTAATAAATGTGAGAAGTATTGAATATTTTATGAACAAAAAGAATGAAATTAGTTATTTTAGTAATTTATGTGCAACTTTTGTAAGACTTTTTTAAATGTAATCTTGTATTTGTTAATTTAAGTGAAATGCTTTTTGGCTTTTGGTTGCAAACTTTGCTCTTTTTTCATATAATGGTCATTCCAAATAATTAAAATTTCTCTTTTTTTTTTTTTTTTCTTTAAAGTTGAGGTCAGATAATTGTAATGTATTTCAGTGTTTTCAATTTATTTAGGGGTACTTTTAATTGTTTTTTTTAATTATTTTTTCTGTTTTGGTTAGTTATATGCAAATTTTGCTTGTAAAATTTTAAATATGGATTCATAAAAATTCATTATGTGTTGCATGGTATGTGTTTTTTCTTCTTTTTAAGCTTACAGAATTAAATGTACTCATTGGTCGAATAATTCTTTATTAAATAGATTTTTGGCAAAATTAAAATTATGTAAAATCCAAGCCCAAGCATACAGCATTTTTAGAATTATTATATGTATAGTGAAGTATAGTGTAAGAAGTAGGTAGAAAGTAGGCATTTTTTGTAATTGCTACTTAAAAGAATTAAGTTCTAATTTCATAATTTGAAATAATCTTCATCAGGATGAGCTGCAACAATATTTATTTGATTCAGTGGATTATTTACAAAACTTCTTAATACCTATAGGTTTGATTTTCAAGTTAAGTATTTAATCTTATATTAATAAATGTGAGAAGTATTGAATATTTTATGAACCAAAAGAATGAAATTAGTTATTTTAATAATTTTTGTGCAACTTTTATAAGACATTTTAAATGTAATCTTGTATTTGTTAATTTAAGTGAAATGCTTTTGACTCTTTGTTTTCATAATGGTCATTCCAAATAATTAAAATTTCTTGGTAATTTTTTTTTTTTTTTTTTTTTTTAAGTTGAGGTCAGATAATTATAATGAATTCAGTGTTTTCAATTTATTTAGGGGTACTTGTAATTGTTTTTAATTATTTTTTTTGTTTCAGTTAGTTATCATGCAAATTTTGCTCATAAAATTTTAAATATGGAGTTATAAAAATTTATTATGAATTGTATGGTATGTGTTTTGTTTTTTTTGTTTTTTTCTTTTTTAAGCTTACAGAATTAAATGTACTCATTGGTCGAATAATTCGGGATTAAATAGATTTTTGCAAAATTAAAATTATGTAAAATCCAAGCTACAGCATTTTTAGAATTATATATGTATAGTGAAGATGGAAAATAGTCATTTTTGTAATTGCTATTTAAAAAAATCAATTTCTAATTTCATAATTTGAAATAATCTTCATCAGGATGAGCTGCAACAATATTTATTTGATTCAGTGGATTATTTATAAAATTTCTTCCCAGGTTTTAATAACACCTGGAAGGTTTGATTTTCAAGTTCAGTATTTAATCTTATATTAATAAATGTAAGAAGTATTGAATATTTTATGAAAAAGTAATGAAATCACTTATTTTAATAATTTATGTGAAATTCTTTAAAAGGCCTTTTAAGTGTAATTTTGTATTTGTTAATTTAAGTGAAATGCTTTTGGTTCTTGGCTGCAAAATTTGCTCATTGTTTTCATAATGGTCATTCCAAATAATTGTCTAAAAAATTTCTTGGTATTTGTGAAGATGCTTAAAATTATTTTGCATATGTATATTCTGAAACTTGAGAAATGTCAATAAAAATCATTTTTTTACCTCAAATGTGTTATTCTTTGTTTTAATATTTAATAATATGCTTGATATGAAAAGAAAAATAGCGTTATTTATGTAATTAATTGCAGATTTGTTAGAAATCTAACACCACGGCAGTAGTTAATTTTGTTTTCTATTAATTCTGATGTTAGTTATAAATTAATGCTAGATATTATATCAAAAGAATAACAATTATGTGAGTTTACAGAAAGAAGGGTTAAGGGGAAAAATAAGGAATATAAAAATAATAAAATTTATTTATTTATTCATTTATTTTGCAATTGAATTTTAGGATGTTCTATGCGAAACATCTAGACGATTAAAGATTAGAAGATAAAAGATCAGCTACACAATTTATCTGAAATGTATGAAAATAAAACATTTTGAGGAATTTCAAAGTAAAAAAATTACTATCTCCTCGGACTGCGCTATTTAAATTCCACCCTGCGCTGCTGTTTCACTGCATAGCCGTGGCTCCTCGATATAGCGGCGCAGAGGCGAAACAGGTTTACATTGCGTCTATGGAAGCTTTCATTCTTTTCCTTACAGATTCTTTGCCACTAACGCCCGAGCGGGCATTTTGTTCTGTCGATTTTGCGGGATCGTACAGCCACCTCTCCTGCCCTGAGGCATGAACTTTGATCATTAGCAGGACAAAACATTTCCGTACTGACAATGCGGCGACCTCTGCAGTATCATGGACTACCAGCACGGAGACCGTTGTTGCGGCTTTTCTTTATGGTGCAGCAGAAACAGACAACAGAGGAGTGACACAACGTCGTCGTTTCAAACGAATTGCAACAACGTACAGCCCCATAGTGGATACATCTGTGTGCAAAGACACCGAGAAAACGAAAGTTTCCAGCTTGTATTCTTCATCGTTACACGGGCCCAAAGCCTGATATGCTGGTATAGTGTGCTATTGGATATATATACCGCTCACGTTTTGTTTGCATACCCGGTAGTATGGGCAGCCGAAGTTATATATTTCTAACGTATTATGCCCTATCATGGAAGCCTGGGTACGGCAACTTTCAAGAAGGTAACGCACGACTGCATCTTGCTCGGGGTGGCTTCCTCGATATATAGGGCATTCGACTGTTGCCCTGGCCAACACGATCTCCAAATCTGTAAATTTATAAAACATACATATCATACATATTGACATATTAATTTTAAAGTTTGAGATAATGACTCCTGAAAATTTCAGGAATTATACGAAAATTGAAGAGCGAATTATTTAAACTAGCATGGTATTAAAAATAAAATATCTGTTTAGAAAAGAGGTTTCTGATGTTGACAGAGTATTTGACGACCTGACTGTAGTGATAGTGACCGTTTCTTTCAATACAAATGTTTTCAATACTATTCACATAATCTTACAGGATTTGTGCTCTTGTAATCAATAGAAGGCTTCATTATTAGTACATAGCCATTTCGTTGCATTATTTGAACACATTAAAAATATTTCTACTCCGAAGACTTTTTTTTGTATGACTACTAGCTTATTATTTTAAAGTAATGAAATTGCTTGTGAATAATATTAAGGTGTTTCTAGTATTTGAAATCCTATAAATTACCTTGAGCGAAAATCTTTTCTGCATACCAAATGTAATTAATTAAAGAATGGTATCCATTAGTAAATCACAAAGCAACATCACAAAATGACATTAAAGGAGGAAAAATTAACCTCGAACTATTTGTACTTTTTTTAGCCGCTTTTGGGAGAAAAAAAAAAATCTGGCAGCGAAAGAGTCTTTAAACAATTTCAAACTTTGAAATTAAATATCTCGGTCAAATTTTGTTTTAAGGGAGTCAAATTTTTAGATTTGTTTTTTATAATAAGTATAAGCTTTTATTAAATATGGACTGTGACACTGCACAAAAAGAAAGGTTTCGTAACTTTTACAGTATTGATTTTGTTTTATATTTAAAACTATCGTAACTTTAATATTTGTATGTTTTAAAACACAACTTTAACACACTTTGTTTTTAAAACATTTTTGTATGTTCGAAGTACATTTTTAAGAACACGATTATAAGGCATTTTCTCTCTCCTTTTCGCTTGCCTTCGTGGTGTAACGGTAGCACAGTCGGCGCGTATTCGAGAGATCTAGGCTCGAGTCCCGACTAGGGTTATTGCTCATTTTTCTTGTCACTTGCTTCAAAAAATCCTAATGACTCTACACGAGTGCGATAATAAAGGCCGCTTAAAGACTTTTGTGGCCACGCTCTCTTAATTCCATGTTTAACATTTTGAAAAGTCCAAAAATAGATTTAAGTTTCAAAAAATTACTGAGCCTGTAAGCAAATACACATAAATACTCTAAAAATACGTTAAATAATATAGATTTTTCATTAAATAAAAAATTTATTTAAATTTTAAAAAATCTACAAGTCCTCAAAAACATAAGTTACTGCGAAAGTCTATTGAGAACGTAAACGTATAAAAAATATTGTTTAAAATAGCGCGCAGATTTTAAACAGAAATTTAAAATAAAGTAAGCATGTGGCTAAGAAATTATAATTTTCCTTAGATAATTTTACTTTCTTTGTAAAGATTAAATTGAAAATCTTCATCCCA